TCTATCAGATACGAGGGAGAAAGGGTAAAGTTAGTTTGAGCGTTTACGACAACAAACATAATGGGAGATATATAAAAGCAATAGATACAAACGGTAAGCGTGTTTCATTAGCTTTGTCAAAACTTACATACATTTATTTTGACAGTGATTTTGACCTATATGAAGAAGAAAGTGAGTCAGAAGATTATGAGCTGTTATGTGAAGCACAGCAATGGGAGGAGTTGCAATACTTTTGTAAGTGAGAACGTTTATTTTTTACATTAGTGAAGTCGTTAGCGAAGTCGTTAGTGAGGTGAAGTGGTTGACGGCTTTGTAAATATTTAAGGTTAAGTTTGTGTTTGTGTTGTAAAATATACGTTAGCGGTTTTGTAAAGTGTCAAATTCACATATAATGGGTAAGGGGGCGCGCAGTGCCTCCGTACCCAAGATATGTATACTAACTAATTTTTCATCTTCCAGGTAAGCATTTCTATAATTATACAAGGTAGAGCGAGATATATTTGTAATGGTGACAATTTGATCAATAAGATTTCCGTATGATTCGTCAAAACTAGCTTTTATAAGATCCATTAAAACTGTTGTAAGACGAGTTACGGAAAGTGAGGTGAACTGAAAAGGTGACACTTATTTGGTCGGATAAATTCCCTATATATTTACTTGTCAAAAAAATCAGACTTTTTTTTGCTTTAAAAAAATTTATAAGTTAATTATTGAGAACGAAGGTGAAAGGAAATGGATATCTCTTACCTTTCATTCCCTCGAGAAAGTTCAAAAACTTGGGTGCAATCAGTTCTGATTGCACCCAAGTTTTTGAACTTTGTATAAGGAATTGTTGGCTATGATGCACTGATCATGAATCAGTACATCTAGGGTTGTACAAACTGGCACAATTTTGCGGGCCGCGTGCCAGGAGCTGGCACGCGGCCAAAATCAAAAAAGTGGCCAAAAATCGGGCCTCATGGCGTGGAAAGGATGTCGCCCTTCGGGCTCCACCCTTTCCACGCCACTCGGCCTATGACCACAATTATATAATATGCTCATTATTATTTTTTCTTCTTTTCTCTTCTTTTTTTTCTTTTTCTCTTTTCTTTCTTCTTTTTCCCTTTTCCCTTCCTTTTTTTCTAGTTTTGGAAAGGAAAAAGTAAAAAATTTAATAATTAATTTTATTACTATGAAAATATACTTTTTAGCTTATATTGTAAGCTGTGAGAGTTTTGAGTGATGGAAGATATAAATCAAATTTGAAATTCAACAAATCTTGTTATGATTAAGTTGAATATTGTACTCTAATTAAGAGTTTTCAGTTATGAACTCAGGTATTATATAATAAAAGTATAACTCAAGATAATAAAGAGGTTTTTAAAATGTAGATCTGAAAATCAAACTACCATGTTTGATATGATTAAGTTGAATAATGAGATTGGGACAAAGTTGCAATTCGGCACTTTTTGTAAAAAAAAAATGGGGTCATACTCATAATGAATAGAGACTTATAGCCAAGTCTTGATATCATGCAGGGAGAATATACATAGATAAGCAATTATATTTTATAGTAGTAGTATTCAGAAATTCTTACAATTTACAATACAATTTTCAAAAATGGATAAAGACTAATAGCCAAGTCTTGATATCATGCAGGGAGAATATACATAGATAAGCAATTATATTTTATAGTAGTAGTATTCAGAAATTCTTACAATTTACAATACAATTTTCAAAAATGGATAAAGACTAATAGCCAAGTCTTGATATCATGCAGGGAGACTCTCTACAAATACAAAAATTGATTATCATAAGGAAATACAAATTTATCAATTTTCATGTGAAAATTACATAAATTTGTTCTCCAATAAATAGCAATAATACTTTGAATGTTATATTAAGTAATATAGCTTCAGGTAAATAAGCTTACACTTCAAAAATATACTGTTTATTCATTAATTTTAAAAAAAGTCCAAATTATCTAATCTTGCTTACTCTTCCTTTAAACTTCTTTGTGCCAAATTTAATATTGCCTTCAAAGATGGAATAAGGACATTAGGTTCAATCCTTCGGCTTTCGACAATTTCCAAAATGTGTTGAAGTAATTTCAAACATTCATCGTGTTTTGAAGCTCTTTGCTCAACAATCTGATTAACCTGCCCTTGTAAGAATTCTTACTGCTCTATCTTCATTCAAAACATTAGCGACTTGAACCTTAATAATCGCATTTGGAATCACAACAGTGATGAGAGTTATGACGATATAAAAAAATATTTTATTATACTCATTCGAAATTAAAAATAATAAAATTTATATATATTAATTTCATTAAATCAAGGTTAAAAATCTCACCGGAAAAATAACCTCAGTGTGATAAATTTATCACCGAAAAAATTTACAATAAGGTTAATACCGAAAATATCGAAAAATCAACATTTAAGGTTAATTTAAGAGTATGCACTTTTGTCACCTACTCGTTGAATAATGTTATTTTATTAAATGGTTCAAATCTGTGAAATCGGCAATTACAAATTAAAGGCGTAGTTCAAAAAATTAAAGAGATTTTAAAAATTTAATATCAGAATTAAACTAAAAAAAGGATTTAGTTATTTCAGTAATTATCAGAAAAGGTTAAAAAGATAGGGTAAGTAATGAGACTTGAGTGAGATGTGAGATATCATATGTAAATAATTAGATATCTGATGAGTAAGGTCGGAGAGTTAAGATCTGGTTAGTAAGGTAGTAATGAGAGTTAAGATCTGGTTAGTAAGGTAGTAATGAGAGTTAAGATCTGATGAGTAAGGTAGTAATGAGAGTTAAGATCTGGTTAGTAAGGTAGTAATGAGAGTTAAGATCTGGTTAGTAAGGTAGTAATGAGAGTTAAGATCTGGTTAGTAAGGTAGTAATGAGAGTTAAGATCTGGTTAGTAAGGTAGTAATGAGAGTTAAGATCTGGTTAGTAAGGTAGTAATGAGAGTTAAGATCTGGTTAGTAAGGTAGTAATGAGAGTTAAGATCTGGTTAGTAAGGTAGTAATGAGAGTTAAGATCTGGTTAGTAAGGTAGTAATGAGAGTTAAGATCTGGTTAGTAAGGTAGTAATGAGAGTTAAGATCTGGTTAGTAAGGTAGTAATGAGAGTTAAGATCTGGTTAGTAAGGTAGTAATGAGAGTCGTCAGTCGAGAGTTAGATCTGAGAGATCTGAGGTAAGTAATGAGAGTCGAAAGTTGAGAGTTAGATCTGAGAGATCTGAGGTAGTAATGAGAGTCGTCAGTCGAGAGTTAGATCTGAGAGATCTGAGGTATAGGGTGTCCAAAGGTGTGTTTAGCACAAACCTGAATACTGCGAATAGAAATAAACAAGTTACATATATATAAAATTTATTTAAATATAATCACCATTGGATTCAATCACGCGTTCGCAGCGATCGATCCAGGCTTGAAAGACACGCTTTAAATCATCATGAGAAAATTGCTCAAATTGCTCTCTTACAAAATTTTCAAGATCATCTGGACTCGCGAATTCGCGTCCTTCAGCTCTCTTTTTTAGCGTGCCGAATAAATAAAAGTCAGAGGGTGCAATATCAGGTGAATAAATTGGGTTTGGAACAACTTTGACATTGTTTTCCACCAAGTAATTCATTACCTTATGACTTTTGTGAACTCTTGAATTATCAAAATGAATTGCAAACTTTTGTTTTTGTTGTTTGGATTTCTCAAACTCATCAGAATTGATAATTTGAGTAAGAACATTGTCAATTAGATACTGAGCATTCATCGTATTAGGTTTTTGAAGAATATCAATTGCGATGATGCCATTCACGCCCCAAAAAACCGACAACATCATCATTGGTGTGTCAATTTTTTTCTTCGGGAATGTTTGCGGATTTTCATCCTTCGGGATCCACATGATTTTGGCTTCTGTTGCATATTGAAACCAAGACTCGTCCCCTGTTACTAAAAAGCGAAACTTCTTGGATTGATACGCACGCAATATAGAGAGGAGCTCTTTCGAAGATTGGACTCTAGATTTTTTTGAACTGAATTAAGGTTGTGCGGAACCCAACGTGTATACGCTAGTTTGTAGTTCAAATAATTGTGCAGATAATAACTGACTGTTGTACGTGGTATCTTTGTCATCTCCTCTATCCTTCTGAGTGATGCTCTTGGGTCTTCATCTAGCGCTTGAAGAATTGCTTTGATTTTTCTTTGATCCGGCGATTTTTTGTCAATTTTTATGATGGGCGCCTTTTTGTTCATGAAGTGATACATCCTAACATGATACGTTACAGTGGAATAGCTAGGAGCATCCATACCGAAGCATTTTACCAATGTCTCGTAGATTTTTTTACAGTCTTTGCATTTTTTTGCAAGAGCGAGGATGTTTTCTTTATGATTCATTAAAAAAATGAAAAAAATCCCGCCAAAATTTCCCGCGAAACCGCCTCTTGTCTCAAAATTCATTTTATATCCCGGCATGGCGCCAAAATACAACATACTCATCATATACATATATTCATATTTTTTATTATATATTTATAATCAGCATATATCTCCTTTAATAGTCTCATATAGAGCGCTGTGCTAAACGCACCTTTGGACACCCTATAGTAATGAGAGTCGTCAGTCGAGAGTTAGATCTGAGAGATCTGAGGTAGTAATGAGAGTCGTCAGTCGAGAGTTAGATCTGAGAGATCTGAGGTAGTAATGAGAGTCGTCAGTCGAGAGTTAGATCTGAGAGATCTGAGGTAGTAATGAGAGTCGTCAGTCGAGAGTTAGATCTGAGAGATCTGAGGTAGTAATGAGAGTCGTCAGTCGAGAGTTAGATCTGAGAGATCTGAGGTAAGTAATGACAGTCCAGGGTTAGATCTGAGAGATCTGAGATAAGTAATGAGAGTCGAAAGTTGAGAGTTAGATCTGAGAGATCTGAGGTAGTAATGAGAGTCGTCAGTCGAGAGTTAGATCTGAGGTAGTAATGAGAGTCGTCAGTCGAGAGTTAGATCTGAGGTAGTAATGAGAGTCGTCAGTCGAGAGTTAGATCTGAGAGATCTAAAGTATGTGATATTGTGGGAAGAATTCTTCCATCTGTTAAAGGGACATTTTGGAGAACGGTTTCGACGTTAATACCGCTTTGAATTTGTTGATTAGCTTGATTTAACCATTCTAAATCAATTAAATCGAAGATTCTACCACTCATTTGAAAATTATAAGTTTTGAAAAAAAAAACCGTAAATCATTATTGAATCTAAAAATATTTATGTACAAAAAGTCGGTATATATTCTATAATTATTTAAAATAATGAAAAAGTTGATTTGTGAATCATTGAAATATTAATGCTGTTATATATATATATATCAGATGATATAAGATGATTTTTTTAAATAAAAAATAAAAATTAATTTTTTAATTGTTAAAATAAGAATAGTAAGCTTGACAAGTAATTTAAGTTTTTTGCTTTGTAAAGTTATTTGGTTGGCAAATGCATTGTGTCACTTTTTGTTTGAGTTCACTTTCCGTAATTTGTCTTATGATAAAACTTCGACTTTTTTATCGCTCAGAGTTGCCGCATTGAATCTTGGGTCAGGAACTAATTTGCCGAGGAATTTTAATTTTTCTTTGATATCTGGCGGAAGATCTTCTCTTATTAGATGGTCTATGTCAGTCATTAAAAATTTGTCTTGTCACTTTTTTATTTTTTTTATTCTTTTGACAATCTGACAAAGTGAGAGCTGTAGAGACAAATGTGGGAGTATAGGCGGATCTTGCTGGAAGAAGATGTTTTTGGTAAGTTTCGTCATTAAGTTTTGAGCTTTGACATATAAATCTTTTGACAATCTGACAAAGTGAGAGCTGTAGAGACAAATGTGGGAGTATAGGCGGATCTTGCTGGAAGAAGATGTTTTTGGTAAGTTTCGTCATAAGGCTTTAAACTTTGGCGAATTATATGTTAAATCTTTCATACTAATAAGCATAATAAAGATGCAAAGATTATTTGCTAGCGCCGGCTTACTAACATTAATCTGAAGAACAACTTTATTAATATGCTTTAAGCAGAAATGAACTGATTTATAAAGTACAGAATTTTAACGTAAGATTTTAACGTCATGATTCACAAATATAAGTCAATAGAAAAGGATATCGATTAGAATTTCTTCGTGAGGTCGTTTGAAAGTTCTGCAATCAGAAGAAGATTGTTGAACAATCCGCCATTCCAGGAGGCATGAGCTTGTTATGTCTCCTGGGATCACAGATTGCAACCTAAAAGATGTGCATATGCACCTCTTGTCGGTTGAAAGTTCTGCAATCAGAAGAAGATTGTTGAACAATCCGCCATTCCAGGAGGCATGAGCTTGTTATCTCTCCTGAAATGGCACATATTTGATAATTCCTGGAGCAGAACTTTGCACGCAATCAGACAAAAGATTGCGACAGAGTAACTGGGAAGACAGCAACTTGAAGCGAAGTTTTGTTTTCGAGTCTTTGGTTAAGAAATCTTAACAAAAAAACAAAGAAAAAAATCAGATAAAGTTGTCAATAACTTCATCAGTTAATGCTCACCTATGGGAGGTGTTTTGCGGGAGCTGGGGGTATCTTGGTGAGTACTCAGGAGGCCAAGAAGGGCACCCCAACCGACATTATCCTGATGAATTCAGTTGTCAACCATTCTGAAAACCGCCGAAACCGTCGTGTGTAGAGAAATTGTTTAAATTTATTTTTTTCAGATTTAAATAAAAATAAGAAATGTTTACTATTATGGATTTTGAAATTTTTTTAAATTAAGAGTAGGAGATGAGACAAATTTAAATTTTTAAGAAATATTTGGAAGGGCGTAAGATACGCCAACTTAAATATATTATCAAATGAGAGAAAATCACTCAACAAAAAACAATTCTTTCAAAAAGTTTGACATTGATCTTTCTAATACATATTTTTGGAAGGGCGTAAGATACGCCAACTTAAAAATATTATCAAATGAGAGAAAATCACTCAACAAAAAAACAATTCTTTCAAAAAGTTTAAAATTGATCTTTCTAATACATATCCTATGGAAGGAGTTTACATTCTCAAAATAAAAACCAGTTCAAATCTTATTATTCCTTGAATAAAAATCATTTAATTTCAAATCCATTCCAAATCCTTAAATCTGTATTAAAATCATTTTGCCAACAACCAATACAATACAAATTACATTTCCATATATCTTCTTGTCCATTTTAATTTTTTATCTCATTTTATTTAATTTTATTTAAAGCATATAGACATCGAGATCCTTTACACATAGTTATATAAAAGTCAAATACATAATAAATTCTTAATTCTAGAGATATCTCAAAATCTCATTTTTTTAATTTAAAATACCTTTCATTTTTCACAGTACGATCACAACAAACAAGCCATTTACTAATTAACACATATAAGAAAAATATCAAATTACAAAACAACTTTCAATATCATTCGCATCAAATTCTATTTTTTCATAATTATCAACTACATGTTATTATATAATATATGTCGGCGCATATTCCACTCTATACAAGTGTCAGACACACTCACACAAAGCTGTGAGATTCATACCTCTATCAGTAGGACTTCTCAAATCAAGAACACATATGTTTCACTATCGCACATCTGTGTAGGATCTAATTAACCCTTTGGACTGGTACTTCAAAATTTGATAATTTGATAATTTCATGTGATATCATCATTTGCCTTTAAAACAACTGTACGTTAAACTAGACACGTTTCTCTATCATAATGCAAAATATCAAAGTTTGGGAGACTCCCAAAGTGGCTGAAACTGATCATAAGGGTGAAAAACCGTTTTCCAGAAGTTGGGAACGTAGGGTATTTTGAAATTTAAATTATTTATCAAAATTAAAATTTAACTTGAAATTTATAATTATTTAGTCATATTTTGCATAATTCTAAGTAGATTTTGTAAAAAATCAAGAAAGAAAAATTTTAACGTGCTTTATTTTTTCTTTTTTATAATAATACATATTATTATATAATTAACATATTCATAATGTTTCACCCTTTCAAAAATATCCTCCTCCTCCTCTCAAATAAACGTACATACGGGTGGCCTCTTTTTTCAAAAAATTAAAATTTGAAATTTTGGGCTCAAATATTAGAGATTTTTTCAACCTTCAACGATATATGTTGTCTATATCAGACCTCCTTTCTTTTTGATACTTAACAATGTTCCTAAATCTTAGCCGTTAAGGCTGTTCTGAAAATATTTTTTTTCGAAAAAATTCGAAAAAAATTCTTAAAATTCAAAAATCCCTTAATTCCTGAGGATTTTGGAAAAAGTTTTTACATGAACATGTGTATATTATATGAAGTATATTGATAAGGTAAAAATCAAATTTTATTGCATATTCATCGAGAAAATAAACTAACGAATCCCTCAAAATTGAGAGGGTAATCCTCCTCCTCTCAAATAAACGTACATACGGTGCACCCTTAAGTATATCAATAATGTTTTCTTAGTTTACATATTATTGATATTTGTATCATGCTGAAATGTGAGATCAATTCGATTGTATCATCGCTTATCTTGATGTGGTAAATTTTTGTCATTTCAACTATAAATGGAATAATTATAGGTTCAAAACGAACAGTGTAAATGTCGTCGAACATTTCAATGCATACGAATTTGAAATCAATATGTGTATCTTCTACAAGGTACTGATCAATGTATGATTTAAATTTTTAGAAAATTATCTCTGTTTTAGTTTAATAAAATAATATTGCGCGGTGAATTTGTATCTCAAAATTATGTAACTGTATCGGTAACAACTTCAAATGTCTTATTGACAAGATTTGTAAAAAAAATCAAAAATATACTTGAGATTATATAAATGTGCTCTTCTCTTTATAACGTAAGAATTGATCAAAGATAACATGTGTACTACTGATTGATTTTGGAGGATTGCTATGATTAGAGACGATTTGATTAAATAATTCAATGAAAAATGGACTATTTGATTCATCAATTAGGAGATTCGATTGTTTGTATTCGATTGCACTTCTGCATTTGGTGAATTAGTTGTATCGTAAATCAAGGAAAGTTAATCTCATCTGCTGTGATACTCTTAAAAAATTAAAAGAACGAATTTTTTTTCTAAATACAATTAATGGCATCAGATGATTAGATTACTTTTTTAGAAATCATCAATCAAATTTGGCATATTTTTGAAAGAATATCTAAAGACAAGACACCCAATAAGAGTTTTTGTGCATACGGTTCTCGGGCGCCTATGTCACATTCACAAAGGACTCCGTCTTTATTAGCAAACTCAGAAGAAATGTTTAACTAAAAGAAAAATTATTTCATCAAGACTAATAAATGTTTTAAAAAAGCAAATCACATCATTAACATATCAGTTTTAATTACAAAACTCAACGATACATAACAAATTTCTTCGAAATTTAAATTCTCATTAAAAAATTCTTTTGATACAAATTAAATAGCTACATATTCGATTTTCCCATTGATACGAACTTATTGTTTTCATTCAAGATTTACAAGAAATCAAATACTTATTTCACAACAACAAATATCTATTTTTACTCAAACACGAGCATGTATTTACTAATAAATTCATGTTTTTACATCATTACATTTGACAATACTATCAAAACAACCCCAAAATCAAACTAATTTTCGATATTCTTTATTCAGACCAGAGAATTCATATAAATCATCGATTACTCAAATTTAAGTATTCATTTAATGTAATAATTGTTAGATATTAGGCGTTTTAAAAATTCTCCCTATTTCAAATTTTCAAGCGAATTAAGTCGATATTTCATACATTTTATAATATACAAATCATGTGTAAGTACAATAGCTTTAATTATTTACAATATTGATCATTTTATTACGAAATCCAAAAATTTAATCAGCAAAATCGATGTTTTTATATAAGATTAGAATGATTTACATCATTGTTTCCATGCACTAGCTGTTAAAATGCTGATGACAGCTAAAAGAATCGCAATTTCATAACTTGAATATAAGATTCAAATGAATCGGCATTATTTGACATTTACATCATTGAAATGTCAAATAATGCCGATTCATTTTTTTTGATGAAAACAATGAAATTCAATCACGATTTTCAGATAACAGTATCAAAACACACATCAACTATGAATAATTTACACTTTGATCAATCACCTGATGATGTTTGGGAACTCTTTTACAATACTCCACCTAATTCAAAACCAATTCAAGGTACAAATGTTACCGCGAAATCAACAAATAATGAATGCTTCTTATATAACTGTATATTCATCACCATTATAACTAATAGTGCCATTTATTTTACGAATACAAGCAATAAATTTCTTAACTCATATTGTTCATTTACTAACTGCAGCAGTAATACAAAAGGTGGATCTCTCTACTTTATTTGTAATAGTTCGATTGTCCAATACCGAACATGTGGCTACAAATCAAAAACAAACTCCTATGGACATCATTCATATGTTGAATTAGTTGATAAATCAAATAATAAAAATTATCTTTATGAAAGTTCATTTTATGAATGCGGAAATTTAGAAAAATATTGTACAAATTTTCTTCAATATGGAAATATTGAAGTTAAATCAATCAACACAAGTTTCTGTGAAGCAAACTCTGACTCAGGAATACTTCTATATGAACCAACAAGTCTAAGTAATGTAACATATTCATCATTTTGTAACACAACATCAAATTATTTTATTTTATCATTAGAAAATGGTAACTATAGTTTTAATTTTTGTAATGTTTTGAATAATAAACACAAAGAATCTAATGAGGAAACATTCTATGCATTTGGATCAACTGTTCTTATTGAAAACTGTTCATTTCTTGGAAACAAAGGACCAGGAAAAGAATTTTATCAAGTAAATTCTGGTTCAATTACAGTTAAAGATTCTTTCTGTGACAGAATAGATAAAACAAAAGGATCAGTTACAACAAATAATGTTGAAAATATATATTCTATTCATCATCTTTCTCACTTTTCATCATATCTGTGTGAAGCAGAGTTTCCTATTATAGATAAAAAGCCTATGAGATCTGCTTTTGATTTATATCATCAATTTTCCTTTAGACGAAGGCGTTAATATTCATGATTTATGAATTTATATAATCAAAAAATTGTAATTAAAGACCATTATTAACGAAAGCATTCATCAATTGTTTAATATCAATTGAAATATGAAAAACTTTATATTCAAAAGATGATGCGGCTTGATTTCTCAATTTAATTTTCAAAGAGTTCGTATTTGTTACAGTGAATTTAAATAATTAGTACTGATATAGTAATGCAATAATATCGGGAACATGGCTCTTAATTTCGAAATAGGTTTTCTTTGTAAGGCATCTAAGTATTATGAGATTTCTTATTCAATTCTATTATATCATTAATAATTAGTTCTTAAAAAAAATTGTGTATTTTAGTGGGTATTATTCTGGATAATGCCAATTTTTACAAGATTTAATATTAACCATATCAATAGCCGACTCAATGTAAAAATTTAGATATTATTTTTTCATTAATCAAACTTTGATAAATTTTAGTATAATGAACGATTTTGTTTCGTGTATGATACAGAAATGAAAAGCTTAATTAATATCATTTTGCATTTTTTAAAGGATGTTAGAGTACAACTACATTAAAAAATCAGATTTGAACTGCGATACTGCATCAAATTGATGCATATCTGATAAGGATCTCAAAAGAGTAAAGTTAATTTTTTTGTGTTTTTTTAAGGTTTGGGCCTGAGTAAAACACCATCTCGAGCAATATTTTTGGGATGACGATAGACCTTATTTGGCCTTACAGTGGACCCTTAAAATTGTTTCAACTTCTAGGGGAAAAATTATAAAATATGATGTAAACTCTATTGTTAAATAATATTTAATTGAATTTATTCTCAAATATTTTGTGAAAATTATTCAAAATAATTGAGAATAATATTTTTTTTGGGAAAAATCATTATTCTAAAATTGTGAATAATAAATTCGTTATATCATGAACTCGCAAGAAAGATTCATCCTTTTATACCGTTATATTTATGAATTGTTTAAATATGTAAAATAGACTTAGATTTGGTTCAAATGAATATTAAATATCCTTCTTTTCTTTATTCCTACTAGCTATATGCAATACTCAGATATGTACTCTCAAATATCTTAATGTTTGTCCAGAATAAGCTTCTTCATTACAGAATTGTTTTAAATCAATTACGGTGATCAAATTACAGTACTTAAATCGGAATCACGGATCCGTATGCAATGTGTTATTTTTATACATAGGGGATTTTTATCTGAATTTGCTTTCTTTTTAAGATTTCAGATACAAAAATGTTCCTTGATGCAGATTTTTCTGTTTTCAAAGGGTGCACAAAACATTTATGAAGTGATTATCATAATGTATAGTGTTTGGTGATGAATATTAAGATAAATTCTCAAATTTCATTTTTAGAGCAAAACTCAGAAAGAATGAGGATGTTAAATATATTAACTCATGAAAAAGATGTATTGTGGTCAACAATTTATGTTTTTAAACTAATTAAACTGACAAGAGGAAAATGAAATGAAAAACGTTTATCAATAAGAAGTGTTTTCTCTAATTTGGATTCAAATGAAATTGGATGTTCTGCTTCACATTTGCCTAATGAAAGAAGTTCAAGTGTAAGATCAAATGAATTTGTAGTCATTTCATCTGTATTAACTTCACCAAGATAAGCACTTTGATTCAAATTTCCAGTGCAGTGTTTGATTATAATAGTACCTCTAAACACATAAAAAGTATTTTTTGCTTTGTTTCCTGAAAAAATACATTCTGAAACAGTAACGCTTGTTGAAGATGGTACGTCTGTGCTAATAATCGAACTACTCTGATAAGAAGTACTACATGAATTGTTTTTGAAAATTGAATTTTTGAAAAATGAATCAGGTGTTTCATTAATATTCAAGCAAACCGCACCTGATTCACTGTTGTCATTAGAAATGAAACAACAAAAGCTAATATTTATTGGATTATTTACAATATTACAACCTGAATTTTCTTTGCATTTCGTATTAGTGTTATTTGTAGAAATAAGGGTCTTATCTCCATAACAATGAAATATACTGCATATCCTGTGTAATCTTTACCGCATTGATAGAGAGAACTTAAATTTACGAAATTTTTGTTTTCTGGTGTAACATTTGTGTATGAATACTTTGCATTGCTTGGTGTGTAACATTTAATAGCACAAAATCTATCTTGGACAATGAAACTGTTACCATTGAAGTAGATGCAGCCACCTTCTTTATTTCGTGTAATATTAGTAAATGTGCATAATGAATGAAGTAATTTAATAGAATTGATTTCACAATTAATGACATTGTCTGAAAAATCTTTGAAATCTGAGGAAAGTAAAAAGAAATTTGAGGAAATAGTTGGTTTTGCGTTATCTGTGATACGAATATATTTTTCTTCTGATGAACCGTAGTAACCTTCCCATATGTCACTTGGAAATCCAGCTTCATGAGAAGCCAGATTTCCGAAGAGATTTTCAATGAAAAAAGGAACTTCCTTTTCTGAATTTTAGAGTAATGATCGCACTTTGGAAGACAAGATTTCGATATTTGATATCTTCACATATACCACATTTCTTTTATTAATATAATATATGATGAATAAGAAGAAATTTAGCATTTCACATCAGAAAAAAAAAGAAAATGAGATTGTAATAGTTGTCTATCTTTATTTTGAAGCATATTCTTTTCATTGTTTCTTTAATTCATTTAAAAAAACTTATATTTTTAACATATCAAATAGGAATTTGTATTTCTCTCCTCTAAAACATGTATTTTTCATCATTAACTAAATAAAAAATAAATATTGAAATAACGATGATAATTTAAATATAAATATGGTTAAAAAAATATAAATTACAGGTTTTCAAGAATTGCGCTACCTGATGAAAACGAAATGATGAGAGCTTCATGTGAAACATCAATGTTTTCGACTGACTTCTTCGCTTCTGATGGTTTCGGTATCAAATCAACTAAAAGTGTTGGAGCTTCGTAGTTTGGAAGATGCATGTCTGTTCCAACTTTAAGTTCTTCTCGACTGTCTGGATCCAGCCATGATTTAAGGCGTTTCTGTGTTTCTGATGGAATAAGACTTGGATACTTGATTGGTTGCTTCTGTTCTTCTTTAAGTGATGGAATAGTTGATGAAACGTATGGTACATAGCCAGTGTAGATGTAGAAAAGCATAATACATGCTGCCCACATGTCTGAACGAGATGATGGTTTCTCGTCGTTCAAAATCTGTGGGGAAAGGTATGATAAGTATCGCTCTTGGTTTGGATTTGGTTTAAGAACAAATCCTGGTATAGAAAGAGAGACATGTCCTTGATAATCAATGAGAACATTAGAAATGTGGAAATCTCCATAAATAAAGCCAAGTTGGTGTAGGCTACGAAGACCTTCTAAGATCTCTGTGAAGATAGAATCGGCTAAAACTGGTGTTGTTGGTTTGGCTTTCAAAACTTGGTCAAGAGATGAAGGACGTGGTTCTGAAATAAACATGATACAGTTCTCGTCTTGAACAACATCAACTAATGGGCATACATATGGAATTTTCTTGCCCATAAGCTCACGGCGATAGCGATCAAGTTCATCTGTTTGATTTCCAAGGCCTTCGGTGGAGTAGCGTTTAGCAATATATGTTCTATTTGTCAAAGTATCTCTAACTTCTAAAATTGATGAATGTAGGCCATGATATACGTATCGAATAATGGCATAATCGTCTGGAGTTGTTGTTGTTCGTGATTTTTTTTCTGACTGCTTTGCTTTGTTAAGAGCATCGATCCAATCATCGACTTCTTGAGGAGTATCTGGAACCATATAATATGTACGGTCTGGACAAACAATCTGAAGAGCTGGTTGCTTCTTGCAATCAGGGGCGTATGAAATGGTACCTGTTTCGTTTAAATTTATTGATCCTTGTGGTGTTACTCCAGGTTGCTTGGAATATTCAAGAATATTGCCGGTAAGAACAAACCAACGTCTGTGCCATGTCTTCCAGAATCCTCCGCATTTGGTTGCCCATCCTTCCTTCAAGACAGCTCCGGAGCTCATATAAACTTTTTTTTGTTGGAATGGGATAAAAATTGAATCAAATTGAAAGTTTCGAAAAAATTTGTTTCAAAAGATGATGATTACACTGTATGTGGCATTGTGGATTGATAGTAAACGGATTTTTTTGTTCTGAATTTTCTTTCAAAAAAATATGGAGGAATATTAAGATACATAAGGATGTCAATTCGGAAAATTGTTTTCGTTTTAGGAGAATATAATTTTTCTTTTGGAAAATTTAAAAAGTGAGACGCGCAGGATTCAAACTTTTTTAAAAGTTGATTTAAATATATTCTAGTGTGGATTCTACGGATAATATCATATTTAAAATAAGAATATACTAGTTTAGGTGGTATAATTTTTTCGATAAATTTGAGAGTATGTATGTTTCGGGCATCAAAAGTGTCAATTCGCTCAGCGAAAGCTGAGCTAGCTTCGTTCTCGAAAAAATAGGGAAGGAGTGAAAGAGAGTGATACAGATGTTGACACATTCATATCATTTCAACAAATTTTGATCAAATTGAAATTCAATGAAATTCAATTCACTTCATATCCTTCAGTCAGTACATTGACATCCTTCTACATCACAATGATAACTCGTGCATCAATAGTTCTACAACTAACTCAGAAAAAACAAGATTTTTACTTCCAGCTTACAGCTTTTAAAAAGTTTCGATGATAAAAATCACTCTACTCTTGTTTATCGATATGTTGTGATAGTAGGTAAACGTATTCTTATCGATATTAATAAAAATATTTTTACGAAAATCTGAACCAATTACAGAGTTATTCATAAAGTTTATGATAACTGTAATTACTTTATCTTTGTTTAATATTTGAATAAACAATTTAATTTGCATAATTTTTTTTAGTTGAAAGACAGGAAACTTAGTTGAGTTTGTATTATTTTTATCGTTCAATTCATTGTATCAGTGAGTGATCCAGATATTTAAGATATTTAGAAAAAAATTATTAATTTGATTAACAAATTTTAATCAAAATAGCAAAAATCTATTTGATAGCTGTAAGCAAATAATAATTTCTATTTCAACCAAAATCACTTATTTTCATCTAAACGTATAAAATTGTCAATTTTATGAGAATAAATTTAAAATCTCATGAAATATAAAGGAGAGTAATATTTTTCAATTTTCTTTTTTTCTTTCTCTCAAATATTTTCTATTGGGAATTTTCTTGTTATCAAAAAATAATTTTAATATTTGTTTATTTCATTACATACAATAAAATTTTAAAAACTCTATTTCTTCACAAGAAAATTTTTTCTAGGGTTGTTAGATTCCCGACGATAGGTGTCTTGGAAGATTTGCCTGGTGTCATCATAATGTCTTTAAATCAAAAATTTTATTTTGGAGTTAGTTTTATTGATTTTTCAATAAAAAACATTTCTAAAACAAGAAAATAAAACGATAAAATATTTATATTTTATATAAGGATCTTATATATTTAAAATAAATATCATTTTATTTTTTTTCATTGGTGTCTGTCAAACCATAATACACTATTCAAAAATTTAATGTGTCTTGCGGTTTCAAAAGACACCTTCAAATTGAACGATAGCACAGACACTATTGAATTTTACCCATTGTATTTAGTTTTTACCCTTTTTATTTTTAAGAATTAATGACTGAAACAGCCGTTTTGCTATGACCTCAATCACTTTTATTTATTATTTTAAATATTATTTAATTTTATTATTTGAATAGGCCAACTTATATTTGAGAAGCTCAATTTGAGACCACTTAATACATTGAAATATCATAAATATTGAAATATTAAAAAGTGTATTTCAAAATATTGAAATTATAAAAATTTATAATACTGAAATTGAGACAAATTAATAAATTCAATGTGTTTTTTTTTGAAATAACTCTCAAATATTATTTTTTCGTTTATTTAATGATGAATAAATATGATTGCTTTAGCCAATCATAAAAACTAATTTAAGTTTAAATAATGAAAGGATAATTTGATCGTTTTTTAAAATACAATTATTTTTGATGATTTGCAAGAATCTTTGAAAAGAATATAATATAGGTTCTATTTTTGTAAAATTTATCCAAATCATGTATTACATAAATTACGATTAAAACGATGAAAGAACCAAAAAGTGTGTTTTGTTTTTGTTGTTGCGTGTTGGATGCGGGATCCTGTTATTTCCGAAATCGACAAAAAATTTGGAAATTTAATTTCCGAAATCGAAATTATATTGTTTTTAATATTCTATATCAAAAGGATTAAAGTTCATTAAGAGAAAAACAATTCTTCTTCTTCAATCTATTGGCGCATTTATTTCTACACGCCAATAAGGAAGGGAAAATTATAAGACACCATGGTGTCTTCAAAACGCTAATTTTTGATGTTTTTAACAACCCTAATTTTTTCCTTCATATGAAGAAACATTTTGTTCTCCATTTGATGCTGAGTCTAAATCTCGATTTTTGAATTTTCTTCTTTCCAAATTTCTTTTTTCCAAATTAGAAGTTTAATTCAAATTTTCAATAGTTTATATATTTTCTCAAGCCGTCTTAGATTTTCTCACTTTTTAGGGATTTTCTCTCAAAATATACAAAAATAGTAATACCAATACATGTGTCTAATATACATTAAAACCTTCGTGATAAAATTCAAAAACGAAGAGTTCTTCTCTCCAAATTTTTTTCAAAAATCAAAAAATGAGATAAAAAATACGTTTGGAAAATTCATTTTTAGCATTTTAGGAATTTTCTCACTTTTCTTCCAAATTGACATCCTTAAGATACATTATAAAATACAATAAGATATGATACAATGATTCGAATTTGCATCATGACAGAGCAGGTGAATTGTCAAAATCAAATTGAAAGGGTGATACGAAATTATCTGTCAAACAAAATGATCATATTGTTATATTTTAAAGACCAAACAACTTTCAATGATCCGATAGATTTCAATTATTCGTTATAGAAATTGGATCTGGTAATTCCGTCTTACTGCAAAATTATCACTAATGTTATATTTTTAATTAAAATTAGGATCTGAAGATTTTTGAAAATTTCGAATTCAAATTTCAACGGTGATCTTGTTTGCAGTGAAAAATATAGATGGATTCATTATATCAGAGCGGAATGACATTGGAAATTGACTGAAATTCATTATTTTTATCTTTGATATCTGGAGACTTGAATCCAAATCAGCATTTTCAAGTTCCTATGGAATATTAGGGAAACTTGTTCATATTGCAATGTAATATTAATTTTTCGCTTTTTACAATTCCATGTCGGCCGAGAGCATACTTGGCCTCACAGAAGATTTGCTTCCTGCCAATAAAAGTGGGAGATCAACCATTAAAATTGGTGCAAGCAAACCAGAAAGAGAAAAAACAGACACTATTATATCAAAATCTTTTTTTCGAGATAAAACTGTGTACATCAATTTAACAGACACAAAGATAATAGAACGAATTCAAAACTCTCTTACGCAGCTTAATGTGAAAATTATCAGAGATATGTTATTGGCCGAAATTATTATCTCACCAACACCCGTGAAACTTAATCTTCCTAATCCTAATTCATCGCGTGGTGCTCTTTTACTTAAAAATGCAAGTATAATTCATGAATTACCAAAATTGGTTTTACTAAAACAAATCCCTTGGGCAGTTCGCGAGTACGAGCCAGAGAAATTCATAAATGTTAACGAATTGACCATTGTTGCAGACTTATTTTCGAGATACAGACCAAACTTTCAAAGAAATTCACACAATCCTAAAATTCACCTTGGCTATGTTCCAAAAGGATATACAATTACACCATTTGAACAAATTCCAACAGATATCGAACCAACTATGAAAAGAATTCAATCTCATCTAAAACCAAGGGATGAAGCTGATTATGTGAAAGGTCCACAAGATGGCGATTATTGTGAGATATGTGGCTGTTCATTCCAGAATGCAGAACAGCATCACAACTCTCCAGAGCATATATATAATTCGACAGATCATGTTTGGGAAGATTTTGATTGTCTTGCAAATCTTACCACACAGAAGAAATACCAAAAACTCTTTTAATTTTTGTTTGTATTCATAATAAAGATATTATTTTATGTTAATCAAAAGTTTGTAACTATTTCTTAAAGATATTGAGAAATTCACTTTCTTGAAATGAAATTGCCTTTTAAATTTCTTGTGTAGAAATAATAATATTTTATTGTTTTAACAAATTTCAATCAACAATAAGAAATTCATGATTTACATTAATAATCAGAGCTATTCAGCGTTATGTATTTTCGATATTTCCTTTAAATTTTGACAAATTAAACAATTACAATTTTAATTTTGTTCTTTTTTTCTCTTCGTAAATCAAATTCGTTAAAATATTTGGAATGTATAAAACATGTGATTACCTTATAGTGTTCGTGACTAATACAAATTCATCAACATTTAGCTTAAATACAAGATTTTCTAAAAATATTTGTTCAAATATACATATTTAGATGGTACGCAATACATTCTATTCAATAATTCCATTAGAAAAATGTTATCAGCATGTAATGATATCATAATTCTTAGTAATTAGTTATTATTTGATTCGATATTCATTAAATTATAAACATTTTAAAGCTATCATATTAATATAAAGACATAAAGTTCCAAAGCACTCATTTTCAAATACTATATTTTGTAAATAAAAATTTTTTAAGGGTGCACACGAGATGATCATGTAAACTTCAGAATTTAGAACCTTATTTTTAGGCATTATCTTGGCTACCTATTTAGGCTCGAAAAGCAAAACATATCAAAAAATACAACTTGACTCCATTATGACCCTTTCATGGAGGTAATTTTTATCCGCTAGTATTTTCCCTTTGAATCTCTTTACAATTCGAAATCAAATTCAAAACTCAGTAGAAGAAAGGAAGAATCGACTTACTACGGTTGTAATACGAATAAATACATATATTTAATTATTTTTATTTACATAATAGTTGTTTGAAGCTCATATTCCATCAAATTTTTAAATAAAAACATTAAAATGTTGAAAATGTTCATATATTTTAATAGGGTTTTGGCACTTTATTGAGGAATTACTACATACATAGTCGAACTGAACTTGATATTTTGAAATTTAAATTATTTATCAAAATTAAAATTTAACTTGAAATTTATAATTATTTAGTCATATTTTGCATAATTCTAAGTAGATTTTGTAAAAAATCAAGAAAGAAAAATTTTAACGTGCTTTATTTTTTCTTTTTTATAATAATACATATTATTATATAATTAACATATTCATAATGTTTCACCCTTTCAAAAATATAATCCTCCTCCTCTCAAATAAACGTACATACGGGTGGCCTCTTTTTTCAAAAAATTAAAATTTGAAATTTTGGGCTCAAATATTAGAGATTTTTTCAACCTTCAACGATATATGTTGTCTATATCAGACCTCCTTTCTTTTTGATACTTAACATTGTTCCTAAATCTTAGCCGTTAAGGCTGTTCTGAAAATATTTTTTTTTCGAAAAAATTCGAAAAAAATTCTTAAAATTCAAAAATCCCTTAATTCCTGAGGATTTTGGAAAAAGTTTTTACATGAACATATGGCATTCCAAACGGGAACCGCGGTTGGTTACCATGGATTTCCGTCACCGGTCACATTTTAAAGATTTTTAAAGCCTTATAAAAATATGCTTTGTAAATCATTTTTTGTAAATCGGCAAAAATTTGGTAATTTTCTTCAACTAATAAATCTGCGAATAGCATTTATAATACAAGAACAATCTTTTAAAATGCGTTTGATTCATTTTTGTATAATTTCATATAGGCACATATATTCTTCCGGGACTTTCCGTGATTTTACCGTAAAATCATTAGTTTACACCAATTTTTCCGTATTTTGAATAGTTTACTGCACTTTTTCCGTAAAATTGAGTTACGGGAATCCGCAAAATTTCCGGACCTCATTTTTCATAGAATATAATAATAATATTTGATAAAAAGATATATTATTTATATTTTTGATTTTTGAATTACAGAAAAAGTGAATTGATAACTTGATTTTTTTATATGGTTAATTTTTCAAATGATATTATGAAGATCTAAAATATTAAAAGTAAAAAATTGAATTACGGAAAAAGTGAGGTCAAAAGTGAAATAAATTTGCAGAACAATTTTCATTGAAATAAGACATTGAGTATCACACTTTAGTGAATCAACATCTATAAGAATGAAGTGTTTTGAAGCTGAAATAATATTGAATAGAAATTAATTTTTTCTGAAATTTTGAATGAAATTATGGGAAATAAAAAAATTACTAAATATTGTATTCATACAAATATATTATTTTAAAGGAAAAATAGATGCTGATAGAAACGATGAAAAATTTTGAAAACTTTACAATTAATTTATGTTCGTTAACCACAGAGCTTGCAATCCAAAGCTCACGTTAGACTACAAGAGTCATGAAGTCTCATACTAAGGGATATCCAACATATATTTTAATAATCTAATGTTTGTGACAAATATTCAACATAAAATTAAGTTTTCGTTTCGTTACAAGGCATTCATACTTTGGAGATATCATATTTAATGTACAGAAAAGTTAATATTAAACAATACATGCTAAAGAATTAATAAATAAGATAATAAAATAAATTTATACGTAATTACTTTCATTTAATATGCTTTATGCTGTATAATATTGATTAAGAGGCATTAAAAGGTTCCATAGTCTGCTTTTATAGGCAAGATTTTTGATAAAAATTTAAAATTTTGAAAAATGATAAGAAAAGGAAAAAAAAGGTAAATGAGAGCAAGAGGAGGGAAAAAAAAGAAAAAGAAAAGAAAGGGAAGGGAAAAATAAAAGAAAGAAGGACATATAAAAATTTAGATGCGCATTCTTAATGCCGAGGCGGCTTGCCGCCGAGGCGCGATTTTTTTAGGCCTCTACGGTAACCCGGCAATGTTTTTTTAAATCTTGTACAGCCCGACATGAACATGTGTATATTATATGAAGTATATTGATAAGGTAAAAATCAAATTTTATTGCATATTCATCGAGAAAATAAACTAACGAATCCCTCAAAATTGAGAGGGTAATCCTCCTCCTCTCAAATAAACGTACATACGGGTGCACCCTTAATGCTAAATAATGAGCTTACCAGCTGTCGAGGTGCATTGTTCCCTTCTTCTTGAGGTTCTCCTGCATCTTGAAGACCTTTGAAAGGATCTGTGGTTCGTGGCCAGCGCCCTTTGGCTGTGTAGCCTGGATGGCGAGGTTGAGGTATTCGCGCATCTGATCCTTGTAGTCTGGGTGGACTGTCTTCTCGATCATGAGTCTAGCACGTTCAACTGGAGCTAGGCCACGGAGATCGGCGAGGCCTTGTTCTGTAACGATGACGTCGAGATCGTGTTCTGTGTGGTCGATGTGTGTGCACATTGGGACAACGCATGAGATGCCTGTCTTGTCCTTCTTTGTCTTTCTGGCAGATGGGCAGTGCATGATTGAGAGGTAGCCGTTACGGAGGAAGTCGCCAGAGCCACCAAGGCCGTTGACGAGTCTTGTACCGTTGATGAGTGTTGAGTTGGCATGGCCGAAGATATCGACTTCAACTGGTGTGTTCATAGCGATAACACCAAGGCGGCGGATAACTTCTGGAGAGTTGGAGATAGCCTGTGGACGAAGAACGAACTTGTTCTTGTAGAAGTCGAAGTTATCGTAGAGCTTGTCCCACTGTGAAAGTGTGAGTGATGTGGATGAACCGAATTTGAGCTTGCCAGAGTTGAACATTGGGAGCATGGCTTCCTGAAGAACTTCTGTGTAAACTGTAAGGTTGCCGAATGGAGAATCGTTAAGGCCATCAACGACAGCGTTAGCGATGTTGCCGACACCGGATTGAAGTGGGTAAAGGTTCTCTGGGAGACGGCCCTGCTTAACTTCGTTCTGGAAGAAGTCGACGATGTGGCCGGCGATAGCCTTGGCTGTAGCATCGGCGCCCTTGACTGGTCTGCCTGGGAAGATGGCATGAGATTCGACAACGGCGACAACCTTGCGTGGGTCAACCTTGATGGAGAGCTCACCGATACGGGAATCAACGGATGTGATGTTGTATGGCTTGCCCGGTGGCTTCCATGGGGCGACGATATCGTGGCAACCCTTGAAGGATGGGATGGCTGTGTTAAGCTCGATGATGATCTTATCAGCGCAGTGGCAGAACTCGACAGCTGAGCCGACAGCACCAGCAAGAACGATAGAACCATCAGCAAGGATTTCTGTAGCTTCGATGATAGCAAGATCGATGCCACCACCACGCTGCTTTGTGTAGAAGCCCCAAGCGAGGTCCTGTGGGAACATGGAAAGGTGCTTATCAGCAAAGAATGTCTTGCCGGAGTTGATGTTCTTCTTGAGGTTAGCACCATTCTGGTATGGGTAACGGCGAGCAATCATGCCGTTCTTGGCCCATCTGTCTTCGTTCTTAGCACCAGATGAGGCACCGATGAACATGTTGAAGCGAAGCTTGCCCTGAAGGTTGTTCTTTTCGACGTATTCGGAGAGAGCAATTGGAACGACCTTTGGATCGCCAACTGGTGTGAAGCCGGACCAGCCGATTGACATTCCATCCTTGAAGATTGGAATGCAGTCTTCTGGCTTGCAGACCTTGCTGGCATATGGCTCGTAGGCGCAACGTGACTTAAGGGATGCAATTGAGCGTGATGCTGAGGAGAGCATTAAAAAGTGAATTGAAATTCAGAGATAATTGATCGTTGATGACGTTTTTCTCTCAATATTACAGAATTCGATATAAGACAAAAACACCATTTTTCTAAGAAATTTGAATGACGTCAATATTATTTGGTACGTAATATAGTTTCTTTATGCTATCAGCAACTTGCCAATTGCAATATTGGCCGTTTCAATTAGGTTCCAAAAATTTGTAAAACAGTCAATTTTTATCATTTTATCAAAATATTTATATAATCAGTTTCTAAAACATTTTTATCAATGGAGGTTTCTTTTCTTTCAATAATTTTTGAAAGGATCATGGTCACTTCATTTCGCCTTTATTGAACATCACTTTATTCAACAATTTCATTTACATGATAATTAAGGGTTTCGTTTTGCTAAAATTGTCACTTTTATAGCATATTTGTTTTTGGATGTTTTGCGAAACCAAAAAAAAACTATGATATACAATGTGTGTGTAAAGAAAATACTTTATTTACTAGTTAAAAAATCATTTGGTATTGATCAAGTTATTTTTTCTGGATAAGATATTATATGGATAATTGGATAGAAAATACAATTATATAATCTTGTACCTGGTTTAATTAAGCTAATTGTCATCAGAAACTTGTAATTTTTATGAATTTCAGATTTTCTTTTCATTACTGCTTTTCTTAATAGGTCAAGTTCTTATTTACGTTATAAAGTATGATATTTACAAATATCAAGTTATCATGTTTTTTGAGAAATTATGAGAAACAAACAAAAATGAAAAAGATAGGAATAGCAATGAATAGTGATGTGGGTATAGAAAATGTAAGAGATATGAATGCAAAGCAATCAGTATTTGAGAGAGGGTCAAAGTTGCTATTTGTCACTTTTCCACAAGAATATAATGGGGAAAAAGTTATCATATAGTTGATCTCATTCATTGAGGTGAGAGATGCATGTAGTGTAATGGGATAAACAGTGGGATTGCTGCTCTAAGTCCTAGTTTCGAGACACACTGGCTTCATTTTTCTCTTTTTTATTGACGTAAACTATTCAATTTTTGTGTTATCCATTCAAATTTCAGAATTTTTTTTGCAGATTTCACGCTACATTCGAAGTTACCTTTTGTAACAACCACCACCGCCTACGAAAGACGAAAGTGTGTCACGATTTCACCCGGAAATCCGACGGTTGTTTAAGAGTAAGCACTTTTGGCACCTACTCATCAGTATTTAGGATATTGACCATAGATTTCGAAAAAAAAATGCTGCATATTGAGCGAAAACTATGATTATATTATAAGGCTGTCATTTAAAGCATAATGAAACTATTCCCTTTTCATTTTAATCGAATAAGATAGTAAAGATTTTTGAATTAGCTAGAAACTGATGAGATGTTTTCACAAATCAGATTTTTAATCTCTATAATGCATAATTCACTCAATATCTCAATTTTGATATTGCGAGATATTTTTGCTATCGGTTTCGCAATTTTGACACAATAGCAAGAGGGTTCTATAAGCATTATTATCAACGTAGAATCTGAATATCATATCAGAAAATGTCGCAAATCTGACATTTACCCGACCAAATAGCAAAAATAATTGAATACTTTTCGCAAAAACTTTAAAAATCGATAAAAATATGAAATATAGATATTAAAGAGACTTTTTATATAATATTCATAAAGATTTTCCAAAAATATGATACCGCAAAATTAAAAAAGTGACGTCTTGAGTGGAGTCAAAGGTCGAAATTGCTAGCTAAATGTTTTTTTAGCGAAATTGCGTATTGTACGTTTTTTTCGCAAAACGAAACCCTTATGATAATGCTCAATGATTATTTCAATTATTGCTTAAATTATCTCAGAACTTTTGGAATTTATTTTTAAATATAGATCAAATCATGTAATGGAAGAAAATACAGTATCTCCATTTTGAGAATTATCTAATACAATGCACATACAACCAAATTCGCTATTTCGTTTCTATGTTTTAGCGAATTTGAGATCATTTTCTAAGATTCATTATATACAAAATTGAAACAAGTTACTTGATGAGTAACTTATGCAATTTGAAAAGTATTTAAAACATCGAATCCCTAGATTTTGCTTTCTTACTATGATACAATGCTCATAGAAGTAATTTCATTTGGAAAGATCCATTAAGAATTCTTTCCAAGCATTAGTTTTGAGTTTGGGCAATCTTGAATTTTGATTTCAAAAATATCAAGATAGATGCCAAGATAATCTCATTAAGAAAGATGCAAGATTACTGATCGAACTTAGATATGGAATTACTAAGTGATGATATTTTTGAGAGGATTCAATATCAATTTGAATTCTATCGTTTTATCTAATCAGACAGAGGCGAAATCATGAAAAACAAAAATGGTTAACCAAAATATACATAATTCATTTTTATTTCAAATTTCGATTTTGAATCAAAATAAAATCTTTTTTTGACATTTTATAATTTCTGAGAGTTATCCTTTAATTTTATATGCTCCAAGCAAAATCCCCAAGAATTAAGATCAAAATTCATTTGTGACAAGGAAAAATTACATCATGAAACTTCTCCTGTTGATGTTTGGAATCTTTTCTACAATTCTCATCCAAAATCATCACCAATCAGAAGTACAAACGTTGAAGCAATACAAACCAATAGTGAATGTTTCATATATGATAGTATATTCATTGATATTTCTAAAAACAGTGCAATTTATTTCAAAAAAGATAACAATAAGTTTCTTTATTCTGATTGCTTATTCAATAACTGTTGTAGTAATAAGAATGGTGGATCAATTTATTTTCAATGCGATAGCTCTATTATCCAATATAGATCCTGCAGCTACAACACAAAAACAAAATCTGGAGAAGGACACCATTCATTTGCAAGATTAGTTAATGGCTCAACTCATAAAAATTATTTCTATGAAGAATCTTTTTATGATTGTGGAATTTCAAAAGTTTTATCTTTAAATTACCTTTATTGGGAAAAATGGAAGTTAAATCAATAAATACAAGTTTTTGTAAAGCTAGTTCAGGATCAGGAATACGTATTTCTAACTCGATTGCAGATACAGATATGGATTTTAATGTTAGTGACATAAATTTTTCAGCATTTGTTAATAATACAGCAGAAGACATTGTAATAAATTTATCCGATGGGGAATATCATTTTAGTTTTTGTAATGTACTGAATAATGTACACAAAAGAGTTACATATGGAGCCACATTTGCTTCAGGTAATGCTTATTCTTTGGTTCAAAATTGTTCATTTCTAGGTAACAATGGACCAGGAATAGAGTTTTTTGCTGAAATGGCCGGAATTCGTGTTAAGAATTCTTATTGTGATAGATGGGAAACCTCAAATGATATGGCCAATCCAGCTATATTTGAAAATGTTCAGAATACATCTTCAATTCAAAATATTAATTCCATTTTAAATTATGAATGTATAAGAGATTCTTCTAGGAAATCTAAAAAGCAGTCCCGACGTTCATATTCATTTTCTTCCATTTTTATTATAAAGAAATAAAAAAACTTATATAGTTTAATTTAAAAAATCGTTTTATTTAAAATAGAGTTATAATTCATCTTGAATTTGCTTTGTTTGTTCACTGTTATCTTGTGATGATGTTGTTGTATTTGTTTGTTCTGTTGTGATTGTCTGGTTGACTTCTTCTGTTGTGTTTGTTACTGTTTCATTTGTTGGAACAGTTTGGTTTATTTCTGTTTCATTTACATTTGTTGCATTCATATCTGGACTAGTTACATTGTCATAGAAAAGAGAAGTGTTAAGGAATGAAGCATTCCAGAACTCGCTATCAATGAATGTTTCATTTGTTGCTGTTGTGTTTGTACTATTAGAAACAGGCTTTGGCTTTGGAATGTCCTTAATCTTCTGCAATTTGTCTTCAAGTGAATATCTTCTACGATTTATTTCACTTGTATGAACAACAGGATTCGATGTAACATTCTCAGAACTGATCAATTTCAGTTTCTCTTCGAACCATTCTAATGTTGAATTATAGATTTCCTGGAGAGAACTGATATTCTCTCCTGAAAGCCATGGTTTGCTTACAGGTAAATCTTCAAGAGAATATTTAGTTTCATTCAATGTGTTATTAAGATTAATAATTGCTTGTGGTCTGTTCTTTCTCTCGAATATTCTATCATCAGCATCATCAGTTAATGATTCCAATTGTCTGACTTTGTCAAGAACAATCTTTCTTGTCTTTGTTTCTGTTTCATTTTCTTTCCAAGAGACATGGATATCTACTTCTCTTGAAATGTTTTCTCTTTCTTCTTCTGTTGTTACTTCAATGAATTCGCTGTCACTTTCAAGACGATCTCTTATCTTAAATATCAAACTCTCGTGATCATTAAGTAGTCTTAAAAGATCAATACGTTTTTTAATAACATGGCCCATCTTTCTCAAGAATGATGATGAATTACTGATCTCATCTCTTGTCAACATCCAATTTGCTGTTTTTACATTTGCATCTAATTGTATTCCATTGATTCTTGCATCCCAAAGTGCTGGAGCACCAATTTGATCAAATCCAAATTCATAAACAACAGTAAGATTTTCTTCTGTCAAAGTCTCATTTGATGTCACGTTTTCGACTGTCACGTTTTCAACTGTCACGTTTTCAGATGTCACGTTTTGACGATTTAATTTTTCTAAAATTTCTGTAATGTTTGGTTTCACGATTTCGTATGTTAAGAAATCGCCATCATCAGCAACATAAACAGTTATGTTGAGAGGCATTTCGGAGACACTGAAATTGAAGAAAACATGTTCATTCAAATCCTGTTTTCCGTAAACTTTGTATTCCTTGGATCTATCATTATCTCTAAAGAAAACATCAACGTTTGAGAACAATTTAGAATTAACTTTCTGGATAATGAATGCTGATGATGTTGCAGCACCTGCGTAGCATGCACCAATAGCAATAGCTTCATCACTGTTCATTGTTCTGTTGAGTTTCTCCATACCCGACCAATTAATTATTGTTTCATTGAAGAAAGGAACACGAGTTGTTCCGCCGAGTAATTCGATGGAGTCGAGTTGTGATTTACTGATGTTCGCCATGAGCAATGATTCATCGAGGAGGCGGCAAAGGGATTCACCAACATCAGTAAGAAGAGAATTAAGGGTTTCTCTTGTTACTTCCATTGAAAATGAATAGTCTTCGTAGACATCTTCAATGTTTGCGGTTGTTGTAAGGGAAAGTGTCAAGCGCTCTTTGACACGACGTGCCTCTTCGTAAAATTTGATCTCGACTTTCTTAGGTAATTTGTCTTTGATGTTGTATTGGCGTTTGAACTCGGAAATGAAAAGATTTGCGAGTTTGTCATCGACCAAATAGCCGCCAAGGGTCATGTTCGAGGACATACTGAGCTGTACATTGTGAAGATTAGTGCCGTTCGATGTGAAATTGAAGATGGAGACCCAGGTGTGAGATTGACCAAGATCTAGGAAAGCAACAGTTCTTGAGCTGTTGTAGTAGAATGATTGACGCTCAAGACCGTATGTAATGGATGCTGCTTGTGGAGAATCAATGATTCCGGCTAAAGTTGATCCGCCGATCGAAATGGCTTCGCGAATTGCTTGGCGCTCACGACGTGTCATCCATGGCTCGACAGCAAGAACGACAGTGGACTGTTCAAATGGGAAACGGCCGTCTGCAGAAGTTGAAATGAGTTGTTTGAGAATTAAAGCCATAATTTCACGGCCTGTCATGCCAAGATGGTTCTCAAGAAGACGTGGCATGCCTTTGATAACATTTTGTGGAAATCTCTTGTAATGATTTTGTGCGTCGTAAGAAAAGAGCCATTCAAGCTGGCGTGTGTCGTTTTTCTCCCAGTGTGTTGGAAAATTAGTCTTTTGCTTGTTTGACATGTTGTAGAGAGCGAAGTAAGATGGTGTATAACGTTTAGATTGTTGATTTAATGCAGTTTCGATTCGACCATAACGTGCAATACCAAGTTTGATATTGTCACTACCAAAGTCAACACTGAAAATAACAGATGAGACTGCGGTAATAAAGAAAAACATCTGAAATAATTTGGCTGGACGATAAAATTATTTGGCCTTATAGATAATTACGAAGATGAGTGGCCAAATTCATAATATTATCATTTGTTATAGGATAAGATTTTTATATTTATCATCAAACTTGATCAATAAGGGGATTTTTTATTTTCAAGTGCGTTAATTTTTCAAGGATTTATTATTATCGTTTTTTATTATTAAAAATAATTTTTTTTACAAACAAAAAAAAAAATAAAAAAACTCATTTATTTAAAAGAAGATTAATAATATCTTCGTTCTTTGTCTGGAGTGCGACATCTTTAGCTGTGTGTCCTTCGCTGTCAACAACACTCAAATCGAGATCTTCACGAGAAAGGAGAACTTTGACAACTTCGATTTTTTCGTTTTCAATAGCGTTGAAAATAGGAGTTCGCTTCATCAAGTTCTGACGGTTGACATCGACATTTTCGTGTTGAAGCAACTCTTCGACGAAACTAGTTGAGCCGCATTTAGCGGCAACATGGAGAGGTGTCCACTGGATTGAGTCGACGCAGTTCAAGTCAACGTCATCTCGATTGGCGAAAAGACGTATTAAGTCTGAGAAATCATTAGATGCAGCGATGTGAAGAGGTGTGAAACTAGAATCATCAGGAAGTTGTGGATTGACATCTTTGTCGTTCAGAAGACACTCAACGCACTGTTTGTGGTGGAGAAGAACTGCGTAATGAAGAGCACTGCGATTCTTCTTGTCGACGATGTTCTTCTCGATGCCTGGAAAACTCAAGAGAAGTTCTAAAGCTTCGAAATGTCCATCACGAGCTGCCCGGATCAATGCTGTACGTGATGAGTTGTTAGTGGCATTGACATCAATGGATGGATCAGAAAGAAGAAGTCGCAGAACACGTGTGTGACCATTAATTGCTCTCAACATAACACTTTAATTGTCAACATCTTCTTACAATTAAAGAATTCTGTAACAAATTCAATTTATTTGATTTATCAGATACTAATGTTTTAAAAAAGCATATTGTTTTGATCAATTTCATCTAATTCAATATTGCGTTCTATTACTGCTACTAAACAATTCATTGTTTCGGCATATCCCATACAATTCGTATTTGTCAAAAAATTAAACATCAAATCCCAAATAGGATATAAATGATTTTTGTAGATACTAATTCTCGAAATTAATGCAGAGATGTTGGATATAAGACTAGTCATATATTAAGGGTGCACACGAGAGGATCATGTAAACTTCAGAATTTAGAACCTTATTTTTAGGCATTATCTTGGCTACCTATTTAGGCTCGAAAAGCAAAAAAATATCAAAAAATACAACTTGACTCCATTATGACCCTTTCATGGAGGTAGTTTTTATCCGCTAGTATTTTCCCTTTGAATCTCTTTACAATTCGAAATCAAATTCAAAACTCAGTAGAAGAAAGGAAGAATCGACTTACTACGGTTGTAATACGAATAAATACATATATTTAATTATTTTTATTTACATAATAGTTGTTTGAAGCTCATATTCCATCAAATTTTTAAATAAAAACATTAAAATGTTGAAAATGTTCATATATTTTAATAGGGTTTTGGCACTTTATTGAGGAATTACTACATACATAGTCGAACTGAACTTGATATTTTGAAATTTAAATTATTTATCAAAATTAAAATTTAACTTGAAATTTATAATTATTTAGTCATATTTTGCATAATTCTAAGTAGATTTTGTAAAAAATCAAGAAAGAAAAATTTTAACGTGCTTTATTTTTTCTTTTTTATAATAATACATATTATTATATAATTAACATATTCATAATGTTTCACCCTTTCAAAAATATAATCCTCCTCCTCTCAAATAAACGTACATACGGGTGGCCTCTTTTTTCAAAAAATTAAAATTTGAAATTTTGGGCTCAAATATTAGAGATTTTTTCAACCTTCAACGATATATGTTGTCTATATCAGACCTCCTTTCTTTTTGATACTTAACATTGTTCCTAAATCTTAGCCGTTAAGGCTGTTCTGAAAATATTTTTTTTTCGAAAAAATTCGAAAAAAAATTCTTAAAATTCAAAAATCCCTTAATTCCTGAGGATTTTGGAAAAAAGTTTTTACATGAACATGTGTATATTATATGAAGTATATTGATAAGGTAAAAATCAAATTTTATTGCATATTCATCGAGAAAATAAACTAACGAATCCCTCAAAATTGAGAGGGTAATCCTCCTCCTCTCAAATAAACGTACATACGGGTGCACCCTTAAGTATATCAATAATGTTTTCTTAGTTTACATATTATTGATATTTGTATCATGCTGAAATGTGAGATCAATTCGATTGTATCATCGCTTATCTTGATGTGGTAAATTTTTGTCATTTCAACTATAAAGAGTGCGGGACAAATTTGCCAGGTGTCACTTTTTCAATAACCTTAAATTATGCTTTTCTATTTTTTAAAAAATAACCTTAAATTATATTTGAAGAAATTATGTCTATGATATATGTTTTATGCTAGAATCTTGGAGTTTTCATGCACTACACAAGAGCTCCAAGGTTCCAAGAGTGAATGCTCAATAGCAATTATAGAGATGTACCTTTTCAAAATGACTTTTACTGATTAAATTTAATCAATAGAAGACATTTTGAAAAGGTACCTCTACAATTAGATATACAAGAGATTCAAAGCTTCATTTCAGATAGATTTGAAACTTTGAAACTCTTGGTAGATTTTGAGTGAATGCTGACAATCATCTTTGAGAAGGTTTTCTTTAAGAAAACCTTCTCAAAGAGGTTTCTCAGGAGCCCTGAGGCTCCCTTTCGTAATGATTGGGAGCCTTGGGGCTCCTGAGACGAAGAATGGCTTCGCCGAATCTTTGATCAGCAGAGGCCAAATGAAAAGGCCTCTGCTGATGGATTCTCAGGAGCCCTGAGGCTCCCTTTCGTAATGATTGGGAGCCTTGGGGCTCCTGAGACGAAGAATGGCTTCGCCGAATCTTTGATCAGCAGAGGCCAAATGAAAAGGCCTCTGCTGATGGATTCTCAGGAGCCCTGAGGCTCCCTTTCGTAATGATTGGGAGCCTTGGGGCTCCTGCAGCAGAGTATCGCTCCGCTCCATTAATTTTTTTTAAAAAAGTGCCGTGTGGCAAATTTGTCCTGTTCCCCATCTTTATTATTTTTTTTATTCCTTTGAAAAGTGACACTGGATAGTTTGTCCCTTTCTCAACTATAAATGGAATAATTATAGGTTCAAAACGAACAGTGTAAATGTCGTCGAACATTTCAATGCATACGAATTTGAAATCAATATGTGTATCTTCTACAAGGTACTGATCAATGTATGATTTAAATTTTTAGAAAATTATCTCTGTTTTAGTTTAATAAAATAATATTGCGCGGTGAATTTGTATCTCAAAATTATGTAACTGTATCGGTAACAACTTCAAATGTTTTATTGACAAGATTTGTAAAAAAAAATCAAAAATATACTTGAGATCATATAAATGTGCTCTTCTCTTTATAACGTAAGAATTGATCAAAGATAACATATGTACTACTGATTGATTTTGGAGGATTGCTATGATTAGAGACGATTTGATTAAATAATTCAATGAAAAATGGACTATTTGATTCATCAATTAGGAGATTCGATTGTTTGTATTCGATTGCACTTCTGCATTTGGTGAATTAGTTGTATCGTAAATCAAGGAAAGTTAATCATCTGCTGTGATACTCTTAAAAAATTAAAAGAACGAATTTTTTTTCTAAATACAATTAATGGCATCAGATGATTAGATTACTTTTTAGAAATCATCAATCAAATTTGGCATATTTTTGAAAGAATATCTAAAGACAAGACACCCAATAAGAGTTTTTGTGCATACGGTTCTCGGGCGCCTATGTCACATTCACAAAGGACTCCGTCTTTATTAGCAAACTCAGAAGAAATGTTTAACCAAAAGAAAAATTATTTCATCAAGACTAATAAATGTTTTAAAAAAGCAAATCACATCATTAACATATCAGTTTTAATTACAAAACTCAACGATACATAACAAATTTCTTCGAAATTTAAATTCTCATTAAAAAATTCTTTTGATACAAATTAAATAGCTACATATTCGATTTTCCCATTGATACGAACTTATTGTTTTCATTCAAGATTTACAAGAAATCAAATACTTATTTCACAACAACAAATATCTATTTTTACTCAAACACGAGCATGTATTTACTAATAAATTCATGTTTTTACATCATTACATTTGACAATACTATCAAAACAACCCCAAAATCAAACTAATTTTCGATATTCTTTATTCAGACCAGAGAATTCATATAAATCATCGATTACTCAAATTTAAGTATTCATTTAATGTAATAATTGTTAGATATTAGGCGTTTTATATAAAGATTCTCCCTATTTCAAATTTTCAAGCGAATTAAGTCGATATTTCATACATTTTATAATATACAAATCATGTGTAAGTACAATAGCTTTAATTATTTACAATATTGATCATTTTATTACGAAATCCAAAAATTTAATCAGCAAAATCGATGTTTTTATATAAGATTAGAATGATTTACATCATTGTTTCCATGCACTAGCTGTTAAAATGCTGATGACAGCTAAAAGAATCAATTTCATAACTTGAATATAAGATTCAAATGAATCGGCATTATTTGACATTTACATCATTGAAATGTCAAATAATGCCGATTCATTTTTTTGATGAAAACAATGAAATTCAATCACGATTTTCAGATAACAGTATCAAAACACACATCAACTATGAATAATTTACACTTTGATCAATCACCTAATAATGTTTGGGAACTCTTTTACAATACTCCACCTAATTCAGAACCAATTCAAGGTACAAACGTTCAAGCAAGATCAACAAAAATGAATGCTTCTTATATAACTGTATATTCATCACCATTACAACTAATAGTGCCATTTATTTTAATTCAAAAAAGTTTCTTAACTCTGATTGTTCATTTAATACTGCA